TGTGTGTGTGTGTGTGAGTGGAGTACGTGTCCAAAAGCAGCAGTTGCTTTGTTTGGAAAAGGATTAAAAAGGAGCAGAGGAGAAGTGAAAATAAAAAGAGATGCAGAGTTCTCAGGATCCACGCCCTGACTTTACAATGATGAACTCATGTTGCAAACTGTGGATAGAAAGAGGAAGCAGACGGGAGTTTGGTATCCTGTGAGTTTTCTTACAGGGATTTATGTCAATGACTGAATGGCATTTAACAAATCCAAATGTAGGGAATCCCCCTTCAATGATTCAGGGAAGTCCCGTCTCTGGCTATTAGTTTTGGTCTGAGAAGTGCTGAGGTAAACTAAACACTAAACTAAACAGAACAGCTTTAATAGTACAATATACTGTTGAATAACAAACTTCGAGGAGCACACAAATATACTTCTGTGTACTTCAAATCTGTGAACACAATTCATTATGCCCCGCTGTGAAACCTGATCTTAAACAAAACAAAGAAAAAGGTTACATGGGTGCATACCTCGCTGAACCAGCAGGGGTAAACACCCTCTTCCTTATCTGAGAAATCTAATGTTGCCAAAACCACAACAGTGGAAATGTTTGGTACTGATACTCTTTATCTGCGCTCCGTGCTCCTCTGTTGCCAGGAATGTGTGAAAGTGGATCTGGGCAGGGACATTTATATGGAGGCTTAGCTCTGCTAGAAGTGTTGAACTGAGGGCTGATCGTACTGAGAGGGTAATCTTACATCAGAAAGGCACCATGAATGTTAAAAGGCGCAGACTGCTCTTCTAACCTCTTCTTGTTGATGCATTCAAGTAAGCAGATGGTTAAAAAAACATCCAATAGCACTTAAAGAAACTGAGTGAACAATTTTAAACGTACCTTGTACCCAGAGGTTTACATCTTGACTGTGGGAACCGATGTCGTTATTCACGTCACAGCGGTATACTCCAGAGTCATTGCGCTCCAATGGGCGGGTGAAAGCAAAGCTATTGTTTGAGATCTCAACACCCTCAGGCATCAATCCATCCAACCTGTGCAAAAACAAAATGTTACATAAATCTCAGGGTGTACAGTACATCACACACAGACACAAAGTTCATACATTATGTTATTACTGAGACATAAGTATAATTGGAAAACCTCTCCACGGCTTGCAGTGGCGTCACTGTTCTGCCGGTTGTGTTGACTCGTAGGCCTGTTGCAACTATTATATGATCACATGACTGCGATAATTTAAGCTGACTGCACTTCCATCAGTGGAGGGGAAAAGCTTTCTACATGAACACAAGCTTTCAACGTCAGGGCAAAAAAAGAGAGAAAGAAAGAAAGAAAAAAAAAGAAAATAGAGAGCTTGGCTGTCTAGACTTTACTGGTACTGTCAGCTCAAATGAGACCATATTTCTTGTTTTCAAAGCAAGATGATGACAAAGAGCTGCCAATAGGCCAGTGTTGTTCTGATGCATGAACCAGTTGGAATCTTTTATTTATAGCAGGGACTCTTCCCGATGGGTGCAGCAGTGCATTCGACAGCTCCAGTGTCCGGGCTCCAAAGTTATGCTAGTGGTAATTTATAGACTGACGCTTCTTCGCTTCTGTGCTTAATATAAGTTTGTTTAAACCGAGTTTAGGGCTGTACAACTAGACCAAACAGCAGCTGGTCTGTCATGTAGTATTTCCTATAAAATTAGTTTCTCAACAAACATGTTACTTTTGTCTGTTGATCAACAAAACAAGGATGTGAAAAAAAAATATGACAACTCATTATTACTCATTTAAGTATTAAGTGTTGCCAAAATTTGTTGTTGCAGCAAACAATGTGCTACATACCAGAGTTAAATTCAGTTTCATTGAGTGTGTGAGAGATTTTACTTGAACGCATGATGAACTATTGATGAAACTGTCCAGGCTTAAGAGAACAAACACTGCCTGGCTTCCATTATTTACATTCTACAATGGCTTTGTCAATGGTCCAGATCATGTTATGTAACTTAACATTAGCTGCTGACAACCTGAAGACAAATACCAAAAGTTTTTTCAAAGTTTAACTACTGACTGCAGTCCAACATTACTGAGGGCTGCAAAATATAAAACAGTTGTGTCCCTTGAATTGAACTGCATTATTGCATTTCTCCCCCCTCTAGGACTTTACTCCTCCTTCACATGTGGCCGTTTGAAACTGCTGTAAACACTTTTGTCTCCCGATGTAGTCGGATGTCCTGTTGTATGGTACCTTCTAGTTATTTTCTAGCATAACGCAACCCTCTGAAGAACACATTTATCTACTGAGACCTTGGAAAACATGTGACCGTGTATTTCCGATGTCACTTCAGTAGAGTGAGGTTTTTAGTTTCCAGCATTAAGCCACTATTAGAGAAACTACTTAATGCACTTCTTCAATTGTTTTCAGCATTCAGTCAGAGATTCCTGCTTACACCAGAGTATGAATGTATGCGTTTGTATTTTGTTTGTGCTTATTACAGATGCAGTGTTATGAGAGTGGATGTGGCAATCTCCAAAAAATACAGACGTCACTGGAAATCATGGATTAGGATCGTAACATTATTGCAACACCTATTCTCAGGATGAAAATGTACCAACATGGTCATCCCTGGGATCACATCAAGAGTTTTTCCACAGGAAGGCAGTTTTCAGGGATACTGACCTGGTCCATGTGAACTGACTGGCAGGTGGGTTGGCTTTGGCACCACAGGTGAACCTCACATTCTCTTGACCCACGTGCCAATTTTTGTCAACTCCTATTATCGATACCACTGGTGCAACTGTAAAACAAAATAAAACAAAAGGTTATAATATTAAAGGTTTGCAATATGTGTAGGCTGTGTTATTCTTTTACCACTTAAGGTTGTTCATGCTGACTAAAATGGATTTTATTTTTATTTCAAGAGCTAAAAGACTAGGACTCAATAATCAGACACTGTGATCCCAGCAGCCTGATGACAAATGAGCTTTTCCAGAGGGAACAAAGTGTGCATTATAAGCACAGTAGCAAGTGATGACAAAAAACAAAGACTGTGCAGGACTGTAGCAGGGTACAGCATCTTCTGGTGAACGAGAGCCAAGAGAACAAACAAATGACCCTGGGTTGGTGGAAAGTTAAAAAATGACAGACTCACTCAGAAAGTAGACGTACTGCAGCTAATAATAAACTCCACTGACTCACCATGACAAAGAAAAAAACAAAGGAAGGCAGGAGGATGCCTAAATGAAGCCCAGAACATGCCACTGTAATAAAACATGGCAAACACTGACTTAGATATCCAATTTTTCATTTTGATTTCTCTGGAGGACAAATGAGGAACTCATTACAGCACACAGGAAGATGCCTCGACTCATCGTGTCCACTGACCCTTTTCACGCAGCTCGACGTTGAAATTGTGCTTCTTTTGCACTTAAAATCCCTTGCCTCTGCATTTGACATGATTTATTGAGCTGGAAAGCCTCTTTCTTCCTGTATTAACCTTGTTTTTTTGCGTCTCAATCTGCTGCCCCCAGCAGCCTCCTGCTACTTGTGTTGCGGCTGAGGTCTGATCAATATTTCATAAAATACCTTCATTAGCTTGCACTCACACAGTCCAAACACAGACTAACCCTTAGTACTTGCCAAGGAAGTATGCATCAATGATTATAACATTAAGATGACTCTTAAATGGCCCCTTTATGGGCGAAGAAGGAAAGGTAGTGAGCAGGCTATTCATAAATCAAGCTATCAGCATGGGTTAATATCGATAAGATATACTGTACCGTTAGGGCTGCACCATGAGAGCTATAATAATCATTATGTTGCTAAATACAATCACCATGATTATTCTCCTTGGTGAACAAAATCATTTTACTCTGTGGACATTCAAAATTCAATTAAAACATTTGATAATAACTAAAATGTTTAAAAAAACTGATTACTTCACTAAATTCAAGGCGGCGAGCAACATGATCGGAAGCAATTTGGTGAAATATTGTGATTAGATGATGCCACAAACCCATTCAGACTAGAACCTCAGGCTGAAGAGATTTTATATTGATGCTATTGTAGTTTTTAGCAAACGTTTCTGAAACAGCAGTAAATAGTGCATTTGTTGGGGACTGTGGATTTAGTGTGTTAGTGAGTACTACACAGAGCCCATGTTCATTGTCACCCAGTGCGATGATGTGACTCACTGATGTGTACATCAGTGTGCAAAATACATGCCCATCTTTCAGCCTCCCAAGGACTCACAGCATTGTTAAATGCTCCTTTCATTATTTCCATTTCAGAACATTGGGGAAAGGACTTAGTTATACATGTTGTCTGTACCTGACAAACAGACACCACACTTATCCTGTCAGATGTAAGAAAAGACAGCAGAAATGAATAATTCAGCACTTACACTGAACATTTAGTATGTAAGGTATGCGGAACTCTGTTTGCAGGGCCGGATGGCGAACCACACAGGTGAGCGTCTTCCCCTGGGCGTAGCTCTGCGGTTGCCACATGTAGTGCACATGTGTGGTGCTGGTGCCATTGGGCTCATCCTGACTTTGTTTCTCACTTCGTCCATACAGCTCCGTCTCCCAGAAAACCTCAGCAGCAGGACGGCCACGCTCCGCTATGCAGGTGGCCACCAGTGACTCATTCCCGCCGTCCAGCAGAGCTGTGGGGCCGGCGGACACGTAGACTTTTGGCTCCACTGTGAAAAAAGAGAGCGGAGAGGAGCAACAGAGAGAAAGGGGGGAGGACAGGAAATGACAGAATGGAGAAAAGATTACAGAATGAATATTGATCTTCTGTGTATGTATATGAATAAATAATGTCAATCATGTTGTGTATGGACAGAAGGAAGTGGCCTTAATATACTCAACTGCCAGAGAGGGCAGATTGACTTCTTTCATTTCACATATATGCATTAAAAATTGATGAACCATGCTATTCAATCATATGGAGGCATTTCAGTGGAGACGTAGCTGTCGTTCATGTTGTGTGTCAAACATATTGTATTTGAGGAAGGGTAATCTATTGGTCCTACTGTATGGCTCTAGCAAAGCATATTAGTGTCTGAAGTATGTGTATGAATTTGGGGAAAAACCTTTAATATTGCAGAATCAGAGGCTACAGACAGTAAACAATGTGATGTGTTTGTATTCGACTGTGTTGTACTGGAAGATGAGGAGCTAAGTTACTGTACACTGCTCAGCGCCAAAGAGCTGGGGTAATGTTATACCGGCTTCCGGAGAATAACTGGACGTTTAGACGCAACAAGGATATTTTTCAACAGAGAGGCCAAACAGATCCATTCAAGAGGGACGTGACCAGAATAATGCAACCCTCTACCTGTTGTGCAGAGCAGTAACACAGTTTTTTGCTGCACTGGCCTAAAAACACATATGGGGTGGTGTTTAATAATCACACACTGTCAGAAATGACACTCGGGAAAGTTCAGCAAGACAAAAGAGGAGGCACTCGAAATACAAAAGGTAGTCTGCTGGGGCTGGGGGGGGACACAATGGAGGGGTGAAGTAAACTGGCTACACAGGTTACACAAGGTTACACTTCCATGTACCATTGCTAGAATTACCCCCTTGTGTGCATTTCTTCTTCTTTTGTCTTTCAGTGCACCACCTCCTCCATCTCTATCCCTCTTAAAATGCTAACAGCTGTTTCACTTACTGCAATAGTGACAGTTTTAAAAGGCGGCACGTGGAGGCAAACACCAGCCTAGTCCACAAGACAAAGCCATCACCTTTAAGACATCTGCTATCCCACTCCTCCGCAGCCGAGCAGGAGGCCCAACAACAAACTCAAATAACTCCTGGCACCCCCTTTTTCCAAAAATAAAACCTAGCGTCTCCTGTACCGAGTGCAGGGGCGGGGACGCCGTTCTCAGTCATCCACCTCACATTCTTCACTCACTTCTCTCTGCCCCTCCTTACAGACCTTGGACTATAAACAGTAGCAGCTCTATGTTAGGAGCCGAGCTGGCTAAAGCTTCAGAATAACTAAATCAGAGAGACGTGTTAATTTGGAGTTGCTGTCAGGAAGGGAGGGGAACGCATTGGACGAGTGGAAATGCTTTAGGGGAAAGGGTAACGATTTCCCTTCATCAAACTGGCTGCATTGGCCCTTTCCCGCCCACATACACACTGATCCACATACGCACACCGAACACTGACGTCAGAGTGGGAACCCCTGGAAAAAGGGGGATTTAACGGGATATTCAATGATCATGCATCACGTTTGGACATTTTTACAGTAAGATTTAGTATCAAAAACCTATAAATTGGCCGTTTTACAACTTAAAGCAGTCACTTATGGTATGACGGCAGTTATAAAATCAACAACCATCATTTTTGCTTAAGATTTTGGATGCTGCGACGCAAAAAGTCGGAGGTTAGATTAAATGCTGTCAAGCACCAAAAGAAAGTTTTTGAAGCAAAACAACCATTGTGCAAACGAAGCCACACATAGCAAACAGGTAAGAACAATGAAATGATATGCAAGTAAGCTGTTAGCGAGGGCCTCATTAGCTGACAGTTGACAGAACAAGATATATATAGGACGTATAGCAATGTGTAAGCAAAATATAGCTTTACAACACATACTGAAGAGAAACTGGGGGGAATCCAGCAGTATTTGAATAAACTGTAAGGAGAAAACATTTTTACCACCAAAAAAAAAAAAAACTAGTCAAATTTTGGCTTCAACGAGTAAGCAATTTTCAGCATCTCTCTGTGGGGGCGACTGCTCTATTTTATGACTCAGCAAAAAAAGACAACTTGAAGAAATGCAGTTCAAGTTCGAGGATAAAGCCCAAACACTTGGAGCTTGTGCAGGTAAAGAATGATCTCTACAGCAATGCTGCTTATCAATAAAATCTGCTTTGCCATCTTAATGTGTGTGAATGTTTTTTTTTTTTAGAAAGTCGATTGCTGTTTTCCCATTGACCTGTCAGCACTTTCAAACAAAGGGTCATTCTAATTCATTCACGTTATGGGTCATATTTTCCTCCTCTGGTTCCTTCCTGTTGCTTACTGGTGCAGACTTTTGGCTCACGTACTCTAGCAAAGTTCCTGCTGAACTGTTCCTTAAATCCATGGGCCTTTTTTCTATGAGAAGTTGCAGACACAAGAATGAGAGTGAGAAATTGTTGAGCCAGAACAAATACTGTGTGTTGAGTGTCTCATGACACTTATTAAACACAAGACAAGGTTTTTTATCGAGAGTGTGAGTTTCGAAATTAAGTCAGTGTCCACTGCACCTGTTAATCATTATGATGTGTGTCGTGACTTAGGCCTATTATTCTTGTGTTTGAGCCTTTTCATTGATTTACTTTAGTTCATTTGAAAGGAATGAAAATGAGGTCAAGTGCTCTCTCATAAACCTCAAAGTATAAACATAAATCAAAACTGCGAAGTCTGAGCATTTAAACTGAAACAAATGCATCGTGCACCATGTAAACCTGGGTTTAACTTAAATATATTAATATATACTGATGTGTTATGTTGGGCTGCAGCCACCTTGTCCTTTCAAAACAGCCTTGTGATGAAATGTACAAGTCAACCTAAAACATGGCAGAGATGAAGAGGCCTCTCTTCATCTCTGCCTTGGGAACTGCTGACTTTAGGTCTTGTAATTGTGATGTACTCTCTAAGAAAAATACCCTATGGGATAACCTAATTCCAACATGACATGTATCAAGTTGCAAAGAACATACATTTCCTCCATAATTACACCGTAATTACATCTCAATTGTAAAGTAGGGCTAAGCATATATTTGTATATGGGTGTGCATGTATGTGTTTGTGTAAGTAAAAAAGCTGCTCAGAGGACAGCAAGGTGTAGCTGAACTCTGCGACATCCCAGACACTGTGGCTGTCACAGCAGCACTTAATGTTACCACTCATTAGTCATCAGTCTTCTTCAGTCTCTGGAGGGAGACAAGAAACTACTGCCTACAGTGCAATCTCCTACTCTCAGCTCTGCCTGAGTGCAATTCAACCACCCATTTAGGGCTTGAAACATACACTGACCACAGAGAAAGTTCAACGTTCATGCTACTTAGAAAGGAGGTTATGTGTCAATGAAGTGTGGAATATGTGTACACTTGGTTATACTGTGTGTATAACAAGAAACAAGATATCAGGAAAATATGATAATGAGAATATGCATCACTTTCATACAAATAGCAATAAAATCGATGATGCTTTGTTGTACATTTATTTTGATTTGTTTGGTATTTACTATAAACTGTGGCCATGTTGATTTTGCTGGGGTTATCAAGGTACGGCAAATTCTTACATATAGATGATATATCAGACAAGGTGCATAGTTACATGTGCAGACACCCAAAAGTATAGCATCTTTCTTTTACAAGTTTGTCATCGGTTTCTTCTCTGCTTCTGCAAGCTTTATAAATACCAATAACGCCGCCTGAGCTATGATTTCATAATTAGTGACAAAGGGTAAGGAGGAAAGAACAAACAACAACCCTCAGTGTCTCAAGGGACATTTCCACACATTGTAGTTTTAAAACCAGCGCTACAAATTAAACTTTTTCATGCAACTTTTGAATGCAACTGAATGTCATGAGAGTCACGTTTCATCACACCCTGCAATTAACTTGTTGTTGCATGCAACTAGTTACATCAAGTTGGAGCTGTTTGACCTTTCTTGTTCTCTGTTTACATGGCCGCTACATGAGAAGAGAGTCTGCATATTCCATACAAGTGTTAATATGTGCGCTTTGTGTGGCGTGTGCAAGTGGCCTTATGGAGAACATTATGAAGTGAAATTCATTTAAACTTGGCAGCAGTTTTGCACAGAGAGTGACACTGGGGTGAGTGAGATGAGTGGGACCGCACCACAGCTGCAGATTCCTTTGGGTTTAACTTCACATGGCCTCTGTCCAGTAATTTAAAAAGCTAGGTAGCTTCAGGGAGCAGTTTATTCCTTCAGGGCAAACACTTAGTGGTCACCCAAGCTTTGCTTAATCACAAACAACAATGTCCTGCTTTGAAAAGTCACATTTAAGAACAGCACTCAATACAACGAAAAAGGAAGTGACAGAGCTTGACTTTACCTAACACATTCACCGAGGTTGATGCTTGTGTGTTGCCCAGAGGAAATGTTGCGACTTTGCAGATGTAGAACCCGATATCTGCAAAGCTAGCTCCTCCAATGGTAATGGTTGCATCTCGTACAGAAGGGGAAACAAACGAGATGCGTTTGGCGTACTCTTGGGAGATGGAGATCCCAAACTCGGGGTTGAACACTGCCAAGGTAATGGTGCCTGAAGGAAGACGACGTTCCCATGAGCTCTGTGTGAGACTGAGGTTAGGGCCCACTTCTATTCTGCAGCTCAGTGTGATGTTCTTCCCCAGCACCGCGTTTACATTCTCAGGAACAACCACCTGGTTACTGCTCACACCTGCTGAGAGAAAAGGAGAGATTCAGATAAACAG